CTGAGTGAGATTCATTTATCAGAGCCTTTTTGATAACTAAATTCAACAAGAAAGTGAATAGAAGAGTGCAGTTTTATTGACATATGGTATAATTAGACTTTAATTACTTTTATTAATTAAAATGGAACACATACTAAAATGGTAGAGACGAGAAACCATTGTAGTTCAGTGAGAATTAGTCGAGATGTGCTTTTATTCAAAATTTTAGTTTTTTCTACGTTTTCTTCTTTTATTAGTTCACGAAAAAACTTGGTACAGGTGTAAATCGCTATTATTCTTGTTTCATTTCTAAAATCGAAAATAAAACTTAAGAGAATTAAACTTGTTTGTGGCATAAACTAACCGAAATAGATTTGAAAAAATTTTAGTTTACTAAAATTTAACAGAGAATTGCTAACGAAATTCTAGTTTCTTGCTGTAATTATGTTAAAAGTATATTATTTTTATACATTGTACATAGTCATAAGCATCTACGATATATTTATAGTTTTAAAGTACACTTGTTGTCATCATAAGGTGTCTCTGGATGCCACAAGTCTTTTTGGTGCGTTTTCGTGATATCCTCCCTTTGTGTAAAATAAATCTATCTGTCTATCTGTTACTCATGCCGTTAGAGAAATAAACCAAGAGTAGCATGATTCCCGTACTTTGCTAAAAAAAATTTCTTTTTTGAAACATAAAAACAACAAGAGTAATATTCCAAGGATATGTATGTGCTTATTATGAGACATCAATGGACAAAAAGAGTAGAAATCAAAAATGTTTAAGTGCACTTGTTCGAATTACATTGTAGACTTGACTTTTTTTTACTTAAAGTTCTTCTTAATAATATTTTTTGAAAGTTGAAACATGAAAAATCAGTGAATTTCTCTATTTTCTGTGTGTATGTTTATGACAAGGAATAAAGCAAAGTAAAAAGTTAACATAATATTTTTTTATCTATTGTTGTTAACGACCTATGCCTATTTTTTTGTGCACTGTAATTATGGAAAATATGAAACAAAATATTTTCGTGTAATTATTGCAAATTAACATAAAAATAGACAATCGTACGAAAGTGAAGCGTGAAAAATAAACTTTTAAGAATAATATAGTCAAAGGTCTAGTAAAGAACAACAATTGATTTCTTGAGAATACATTTCATTTTTATTCTGAAATGTATTGATACTAGCTAATAATACTGATATCTGATAGCTCTGTATAGTTAGATCAATCTTAAAAATCAAACTACTATAGAAAATAAGACAAATAAATTTATCGATCTCAATAGTAGATCCGTACTAACTCTTACTCTCTTGTTTTTCTTTACTTCGGAAAGAAGAAAAAGAGAAAAAGAAATAGATTCATCTGTCAAATTATAGTCTAGAATATAAAAATACAAATAATAAGAAGTTTATTGCTCATTTGTTTGTTAGTTATAATAATAAAAAAGAAATCAATAATCATGAATTATATTGATGTGGTCTATATTCTTTAAAATTCTTGAAAAGTAAAATACTGGCAAGCAAGGCTTTTAATCTCTATTAAATACATGTATAACATCAGATAAATTGTGAAGAATATTTTTTTCAGAAGATCTACGATCAGACAGTATTAAAACGAAAGTGTTTGAACGATTTTTGAAAGTTAAACTTATATCCATTGTTGTATATAGACAAATATTGTGTCAAATAATCACTTCTTTTTTTTGTCAACAACTATTATCCATCTGCCCGGCTGAATTTTTGAAATATTGAAACTGAGTCTAATTCTCCTTATGAGATATATTTTTATCTTAAACTGTTCATTTCAGAATTAATAGTATTATTGACTCTAAAAAAGCAAACATTATTGAATAAAAGATAATTCTCTCATAAAGTGTTTTGTCTTATCTATTAGTTGTGTGTACACTCATACAATATTAAGGGTACTTCGATAAGACTAAACCACAATGGAATATGATTATTGAAGTACAAAGCTAGTTTTTGAATCAAAGGTATTTTAATAACATTTATATTTTAAAATATTATAAAATATAATCAATAGATTACTATTGACAGTACTATTTGATTTTTGATCATTTCAGAGTATATTCGTCTAATAAACAAAAACTAGCTTGAGATGTTCAATTGTATTTAGTTTTAGATAGAAATCTAAATATATCTGCTACCATATTCGAGCTAAAATATTTCACATTTCTAGTTTGATTTTAAACAGTTTTCTATACACGTCCGTTCAAACTCTTTATACTTTCAACGTATTGGTTGATTATGATAAGAAAGAAACTAAAAGTAATATTATCTTCATTTGAACAAGTTTATCAATAGAGTAGATGACAAAAGGTGATAAAGTCTCTCTTTTATTTTTATTTTTTATTTTTTTGTTTTTTTCAAGAAGAAAATGTGAAAGTGATAGTAAAATTGATGTTCTGTTTACATCTTTATGAACATTATGATTTTACAATCGCGTTTTATTTTTCTATTCTCTCTTGTGCTGTGTTTAGATAGATATTTTCTAATCTTTTGATCCTATTGAAAATTGAGTTTATGTACATTTTTAGCATATTTTGTCATAATATAGATTAGATATAGCTCTCTGTCCCGAGAGAAGTATGGGCGAGAAACAAAAACAGGTGAAGTATAGGAAACAAAGTTGATTAACCGAAGAAAGAACAGACGAGAAGAAAAAAAAATGTTATGATTCAACATGCGAATTGAAAAAAGAAATATTTCTGTTTTAATTACTTTGATTTTTTTTTCGCCTACAATATTTATCTTCTTGAACATTTTAATTGTTTGTTCGAATATACAAGTAGTGATGCTATAAAATAATTATCATTATTGAGAGAAACAATCTTCAAAAAAGGAAAAGGTTTTGGTTTTTTTTTTTTGTTTTGTTTCGAGCAAGTCTACAAAAAAAATAAAAAAAAAATGATCGAGTCATTTTAAAAATTCCTCTTTCTAAATTACTTTCTCTTTCTTCTTTCGAATTCTATATGAAATCTAAATGTCATAATAATGTTAAAAAAAGTATATGCATTGTATTTTATTTTTTTCAATGTAAAACATGAAAAATTTACTGCAAAAATCAATTTTGATGAGTTAAAGTAGAATTAAAATAACTTTTGAGGTATTTTATAAAATTGACAATGTAAGATTTTTAAAGTTTATAGACTCATTTCTATGTGTAAACGTTCATAACGTTTTTTTCAAACTGTTTATCATATTTGTGCTTCTTAATTTAGTTAGTTTTACTTTAAATAATATTTTTTTAATAACCAGAATTATTTTACTTTCTACTTTTCTATTTTTAAATTTGAGTTTTGAATACATTCATTACAGAAGTATTTTAACTAAATTGAGAATTTAAAACCACGTGAAATTTGTGTACGAGACTGACATTTTTACGGACTATCTATCCGTCTCTACATCTAAATTCTACTATAGACATCTGACAATAACTGTGATATCAGAGACTTTCATGATCTCATAGTTCTTTTTTTTATTATTATTTCCTTCTTATCTACTTCTTACCAACTCAGAAAGAGTGCAAATTTTCATAAACACTAATGGAAAGAAAAAAATATTTGCATTGCTGTTTTTTTTATTTTTTGACATGAAAGATTACATCTCTGTTTTGAAAATGTTTTCAGTCTATGTTTTTTAAACACATAAAGAACCTGTTCAAATCAAAGTAATACATTTTTATTCAAAAACAAAATTTTTAAAGATAAAATTGACATTTTTTTATGACAAGAGAAAGAAAAAGATGACACTGTGTGTTTATTTCGAAATTCGTAGAATATAGAGATATTAGAGAACTACCATTTTTTCATCTCTTCGCGTATTTACAACGGTTGAACAATGAGATATAACATTGTTGATATAGACTGCATAAACATACCATGGAAAGTTTAATTTTGAAGTAAAAAAGGATTTAAACCTTTCTAAAAACGTTTAGATTCTAATTTTATAAATGTACTGAACGTGTGCATATAAATAAGTCATGATGTATGTTACAGAGTATTCAAGTCTTTTTTCTTTTTTCATCTAAAATTCTCAAATAAACACACAGTTGATTTGCACACAATAAAAAGAACAAAAAAGAAAGTTCCGTTTATAGTGAAAATCATTCTTTCGTTCTTTTTTTTTGTTTTTTTGTTGTTGATGATAAGGTCCCTTTATATTTTTAGCAGAATCTCTTTTATGCAGTATCGAACTTAATTATTCGTTTCTCTTATCGCATTACGCGTATATATCCACCATTATTTAATTTTCAGGTTTTGTGAGAACGTAGAATTAATAACAAAAATCGTTTTCTTTTTTTGTTTATTTTGAAGCTTAAAACAGTTATTATTCGACGAACAATGATAATAAATAGGTGTAATTTTTAGTTAAATTTTTTCTTTTGTTGTTATTAAATGACAAATCATATTGAAACATTACTATTATCAATAATAAATTTCCATGATGAAACAAATGGGTCAGTTTCTAATATTGGTAAAACTCAATCATTTTACAACCACTGTTGTTGTTGCCGATGTTGATGCTGTTATTATTATGATTATATAATAGTTAAAATTGATTTTAGAAAACAAAATAGTATGTGCACAGAAATAAGCCTATAATTTAGCTTTTATGGCATGCATTTTCTTTCATATGTATATATATATATATATATGCACACGAAATAATTGGTTTCTTAAGTTTATAAACTAATCTACTATCTTTGATGATTTTGTGTTAGAAAAATTCTACTGCTAGGCAATAAACAGTGAATAAAGTATTATTAATGATGGGAATTGAAGCAAACTAGGAGCACGCTTTATTCTTTGAGCACATATCCTCATTTATCTTAACCACTTCTTATAAAGATTTTGCTTAGGTTTTTGAAAGTATAAACACGACGCTTCTTTGGGGATACTAGTTCACAAAATATTTTTCGTAGTGCTATTGCTGCCGAATGATACATTATAATTAATAAATAAATGTCATTTTTTTAAATTAATAGGTGATACATCAATGTATGATTATCAATCAACCAGTTTACCACCGATACGTGCTCGTCAACAACGACCAAGCGGTGTTCAAGTTCAACAACTCTATGAAAATAGTCCAGTACATCATCCTCAACAATATTATCCGACACATTTGCGTCATGTTGGCGGTGGAGATGGAACATCGCACATTGGACAAGCAGCAATTTCCACAGTAGGAACAACAACTATTGGTGGAGCATCGACATTGTTAAGTAATAATAATAACAATAATAATAATACAACGAGCTATCATAATGGTGGTACTGTTATAGCCCAACCATCATCCGAACAATCGTTGAGAAAAAGTCCAAGTGGTGATAGTCAAGCATCTTTACGTTCAACATCTCAACAAAAACGTCAGACAAATGCACTTGATCCAGAAACAGCTATGAAATCGTATATGTCGAAACTAACTACATTCGAACGTCACGAAATATTTAGTTTTTCACAGATCTATTTTGTTGGACAAAATGCAAGAAAACGGCAAGGAGTAGGTGGTGGTCCAAATAATTGTAATTATGATGATGAAAATGGTTCATATATAGCCGTACAACATGATCACATTTCATATCGTAAGAAAAAACTTTATTTTATAATTCATGAGTATGAGCTAATAGTCTGCAACGCTTAATACTAGTTGTTTCGAGCTGTTTACTCTTTTCTAATTTATCCTATTAGGTTATGAAATATTGAAAATTATTGGCAAAGGTTCATTTGGTCTAGTTGTGAAATGTTATGATCATAAACATGGCAGTCAAATAGCATTAAAAATTGTTCGTAACGAAAAACGCTTTCATCGTCAAGCCCAAGAAGAAATTCGAATATTAGAACATTTAAAAAAACAAGATCGTGATAATACTTTTAACGTAATACACTTATACGAATGGTTTCAATTTCGTAATCATATTTGCATCACATTTGAATTATTATCAATGAATCTATATGAATTGATAAAAAAGAATCGTTTTCAAGGTTTTAGTTTACAATTAGTAAGAAAATTTGCCCATTCAATATTACAATGTCTAGATGCTTTATACAGAAATAAAATTATCCACTGTGATTTAAAACCAGAAAATATTTTATTGAAACAACAAGGAAGAAGCGGAATTAAAGGTAAAAAGAAAATGAATAAAGAAGAAAACAAACTAATGAGTAATCAATTTCATCAGGAGTTTACGAGTTTATACAAGATCCTGAGGACAGCGTAAAAATATCAGTGTAGAAATATCGTCAGTAGATAAGACTATTTGGCTAAAAGTTTTTTTGAAAAAATACTGCTTATGACTTTTAACTGACTCCATGTTTTGATCTGTTGAGTCATACAAGCATTTTTCAGGTACAATTTTTGCTTAAACTATTTCTTCGGAAAGAAAAGAAAACATATTTTTAGAACGCACGGAATCGACATTTGCCATTATACCAATGTCAGTCTATAAAAAAAAACTGCAAATGACAAATTACGAGCACAAAATAGAAAAACAACAACTAACAAATATAATTAGAGAAAAAAGGAGCAGAAAAGAGAAATTACATAAAAGAAGGAAGAAAAAGAACGAAAGACAGGGGTAGAGAAGAGTGGAGAAACAATAATGAATGTCTGCTGTATTAACAAAACTAAAAAAAGTGGAACACAATGAACACCAATTTATTATTCATCAAAACGTACACTCGCTTGTATAGATATAATTTTAGTACGATATGTCTTATTATGATGATCATCACGAAGAAGAACGATACTGAAACATGTCTTTGCATAGCTATCGAACCATTTATGGCTTTGAATATTGAAGCATATTGGTTTATATATTAAGGGTACCCTTCCCCCTCTTTTTTGATTCCCTTAGAAACCGAGGAGGCCTATGTCGATCGGGCTGGAATTTATTCCAGAGATAGAACATCGAAAAAGAAAATCGATGTATTTTTGCCCAAAATTTTCTAACATGTTCTTCTATTGGCTTCTAGAAAATTCCAGTTTTCATCCAGTGACATTACGACCCATCAAAAAATGGTCCGATCGAGCTGAAATTTTTACCACAAATGCTTTATCTCAGATTCTAAATTTTGTTTCTAAAAATATGTTTTTCTTCGGGGTATTCGAAAAATGCTAAAATGCTATATAGAAAATCATTTTTTTATTTTAAAAACCTTCTCACACCGAAAGTTGAAATCGAAAACAATTAAAAAAATTTAGAACTTGAGATAAAGTCTAGAGTAATTGTGATAAAAATTTCAACTCGATCGGATCAGTTTTGCGAGGGATCATTATGAAGGAACTATTGAAAAAACACATTTTGTAGACAGAGCACTTTTTTTCATGGTATTTGCGGTGATGCTTATATCTCCACGATAACACATTTGGAAAATTCTGGAGAACACCTAGTTTTGAAGAGCACACTTTCTTCTATCAGACTATCTATAAGAAAAATTTTGAATGAAGAGAAAATTTTGAATTTGAAAAATTTTGAAAAGGAGAGAAAAATTTACAAAACTAAAATTGTGATTTTTCAGACTTTGAAGAAAAAACCTTAATAAATTCATAACGTTTTCAAGGAAGATGGTGGAGGGCTGGAAATGGTCTCATTTTGTAGCCGAGACTTTCCTCTACATTAGACTATGTTCAGCTCAAGATAGAAGATTTTATGAAAGAAAGAGAGGGTGGGGTACCCTTAAGAAAATTATGTAAAAAGAGAGAAGAAAAGTTATATAGTACATCGTAATAGGTTTGATAATAATTTCGCTGCACTGCAAAGATCCTTAAAATATGTGTAGTTGTATGGCAAGAACAATTTTTCGCTGTCTCATTTCATTTTGTACAAGTATTTGACTTATTCCATTTTGATATAACATGCGAAAAAAAATGAGGTTTTTAATCTTTTCATTTCAAATATTTTGCGATTAGAGTTATATACTGTGGTGCAAGCGATTACCTTAGAAGCTGTAAGTTGTATACACTATAAAAAAACCAAGTGCCCTGAGATACTTGTTTTTTTTATAGTGTAGGGAAAATATTGGACTATTAGAACTGACACTTGTTAGTTTCCTAGTACAGTAACGGTGGTGTGATGGCGGAGCATTCTTTCAAGCCATACACATGATAACAACAGATGTTAGTGTCTACTTTTTTGTATATCCAATTTTTACTTACAATCTTCAAGAATAATAACCTAAGAAGTTCTGTTACGACAAAGATTATGGCTGAATAGCTTTTGTGTTTTTTTGATTATCCTATGTTTTATTAAATCAATTGTGAAAATGTTCTGTGACTAATGAACGTGCTTCCTCAAAACTGTAATTTCATGCAACTATTTCTTACTGCAGTCTGTCGTTTTTTAAGTGAATCGCATAAAATCTATTAATTCTCTTTTATACATTCGAAAACTATTTTATCTTTATTGTTGAATAGTAGCCTAAGTTAGAAAACTCTGATATTGCTATTCAAATCTTAAACTAAAAGTTTTTTCGAAATGGCAATTTGCATCGAGGTAGCGGAGGCTGTTCAATATATATTGCTGCACGCAACCTTCATATTTAGAGAAGGATGATTACGTTCTTATTTCCTGTTTTAATAACGTTTTCGTTCAGAAGTGCTATCTTTGTCGCCTTGTACGCTACTAAAAATTTTTTCTTCCTTACCATCAAAGGATGAACTTCAACTTGATTTAAACAAAGGGCTAAAGTAACATGGATGTCAGAGTCAGAGGCGGCGGAACGTTTTTGGGCGAGGCAAGGCTCAGGGTGTAAATTTTCGAAAAAACAATTTCGCTAATGAGTTTTTCCATAAAGTATTATATTATTGCTTGGCTATCTAGTATGAACAGTAAATTCCGCGGAAAACGGTGGAAAAACGAAACTAATTTTTTCATCTTAAGGCAAGGATCAGCCTAACGGATCCAAATTGAGGCAAGGCTCAAGCTTAACGAGCCTAGTGGCTTCGCCGCCTATGGTCAGAGTGATTACAAAACTGACAAAGAGGAATAAAAAACAGCAACGGATTAAATCAAAGGAAGCTTATTTGCAGCTAATAGATCTTAAAATATATTAGATTCAATTTTGAGTAAGCACATTAACAAATTGTTTCAAAGGTAAAATACTAAAAGAAAAGTTTTTCTCTCTAAGATTTAGTCTTTCCAAAAATGTCTAGAACAATGACTTACCAATGCCACGATTTACCAATGTAAATAACAAGAGAATTTTAAAAATAGTTTGAGATTCGTTGTCATTCGTCAAGTCCCAAATAAGAAAGGTATACAAAACGACAGATGTAATTGTAGCACAACTGCATGTACGATAGAACTTTACTTGTTCGGCTATTGACGTCAGTAACTGTTCAGTACATGTTCGAGTTTTCCGAGCCGAATGCCACGAAAATAAACGTTTAAAAACGCTATAACATTAACTGTGCGACTTTGTACCAATAACTTTTTTACCTAATCTTTGGATGGGGTGGTTTATTGGGAAATTGACCGTTTCGACAAAAGCCCACCATCATTGACTCTTAATCCTACAAATCCGCCAAACCATTCTAAAACTACTGAGAGAACCACACCACCCTGAAGTCAAAGTCGGAGCTAGGACTGCAAACGTTCAGCGTTTCTTTTTAGCATTTTCTTTGAACGTGAACGGTAAAGCACGTTAGCGTTCCTTGAACGTGAACGCGAGTGTTCTGGTGAACGTGAACTTTATTTTATATGAACGATGTTGATCTTGTGCGGAATGAATAGTATCGCAAAACGTTATATAGCAATTTCAGCTAGTAGTATACCAAGTGAAACGACTTTCTCCATTGAAAGCTATATTTAGTGAAAAATCAACGCTCATTAGCTCCCAAACTGGTTACGATAACAAAGGAAAAAGTATTTAGTTACGAAAATAGTTTGGACCAAGGAACTTCGATTTTACTACAGGCAAAACTAGTCTCCTGGTCAGGAAATCAGTGATCTGTTCTTGGAAGAATCAATGCCTTGATCAAACAATCAATGAGCGTCCTTTTTTTACATTGCAATAATCTGGTCACTGCCCTGAACAGACAATCTGATCGTTCACTAGAGTTTTTATTGACCAGATAAGATCAAGTAGAAATATATATGTTCTTACTACGGTACAAGAGCAGAATTTTATATTTACTTCAGACAATATGAACTCCGTTCGAATAAAAAAAGCCCACGTTCACCAGTGCTTTAGCGTTTACGTTCAAGGAACGAAACGTGAACTTTTACAGGCCTAGGAGTAGCTCTCACTGTTGCCATTTTATGGTATTAGTAAACTGTTTTGGATTTTCGACTATGTCATATAAATCCTGAGATGTTTTTCTACTATTAAAACTAAAAAAAAGTACTATTAAAAGAGGTGTGATCTGATGTTATTTTAGCGCAAAATCTGCAAAATAATCAGATTGATATCCGAAAAGTATCAAAAGAAAAGGATAAAATCAGAAAAAATCCCGATGAAAATGCTTAATGGATCCCGTATACAAAAATTTAAATAAGATCAATGGCGGCGCGAGAGGCAGCAAGATAAAAGTGAAAAGACCGACAAAGAAAACCGAGATCTTTTGTGCGTTTTTTATACAAGTTTTGTATACGAGATCCATTCTGCAATTTTTACAGGATCAAAAAAACTATTTTACCGTCCAACAGAAAAACGATATTTTTGAAAAATTTTTGTGACAAATATCCTTATCTGCTCACTAATGATCTAACTATACTGAAATTTTTCATGCTGATCGCTCACATTGACTGAAGACTTGATAAAGTTTAAGTAAGATTACTTTAACCTCTCTGTATGAGTGAATGCAGACTCTGTCATTCTTATTCGTTACTGCAGAATAACTTAAAATCTCACTTGATTGATGATACTGCAACAGTCAAATTATCAAAGTCCAGCTTTTTTCGAAAAAAAGTTGTGATTAATTGATGAATTGTGCTCAGCAATTTTTCTGTGACACTTCTTGACATTTGCCGAGCGCTTTCTATCATCCTTTTAGTGATTGATTTTGGATCGAGTTGTTTCGAACATCAACGAGTATATACTTACATACAATCACGATTTTATCGGGCTCCAGAAGTGATACTGGGAGCAAAGTACGGTATGTAATCTCAAAAAATAATATCTCGTTTAACGTTTTTCACTGAATGTAATGAGAACACTCTTCTCGAATTTCGCGATGAAGAAAACTGATGAGTCAGTCATGATGACATTAAGTTTTAATGTTAAAATAGGTATGGCAATCGACATGTGGTCATTGGGATGTATATTAAGTGAATTATTAACCGGTATGCCCTTATTTCCGGGCGAAGATGAATCTGATCAATTGAGTTGCATCATTGAAATTATTGGCATGCCAAGTCAGAAATTACTGGATTCATCGAAACGTGCAAGAAATTTTGTTAGTTCCAAGGGCCACCCACGTTATTGTACATTAACCACATTGCCTGATGGAACAACAACTTTACAAGGAAGTCAGTATTATCAAAAGCTTAAGAACTGGCTTTTTACTTCAATATTTCGTTCTCTTTAAGGTCGATCAAAACGTGGTAAACATCGTGGCCCGCCAGCCACTAAAGATTGGTCACAAGCATTGAAGAATTGTGATGATCCATCATTTATCGATTTTCTTAAACGTTGTCTCGAATGGGATCCAACCCTTCGTATGACACCACCTCAAGCATTAAGACATTCGTGGTTAAGACGACGTTTACCTAAACCGCCTGCTGAACCAGCGCCAACAAACAGACCATCTGCTGTTTTACGTCATCATCATCATCACATAATACCAGCACATCAACAACAGACATCAAACGGCCAAACGAGTGTCGCCGGACGAACTAATAGTGGTAGTGGTGTGAACGGTGGTGGCACATATACGAGTCATCATCATTTGTATCATACAACTAATAATACATTATCGAAAGCATTTCCATCGACGACTGAATTAAATCGTCATCAAAAATTACCACATATTGGTCAGCCATTAAATGCGATACTCGATTGAGCGACATTATTCCGGTTAATAACATCATGCTCGAGAGCGAGACACATGCTAGTCGTGTGACATCGCACGTTTCTCTATTTTCTATAAGATGTAGTTTGCTCAGTGAAATGATCGCAATCAATTCTTTTTTTTTGGTATTTTTACGTGTTAGGAAATCAGAATGAATGCATTTACATTTGAACATCGACTGTACGTTATGTTTTTTCCTCTACTATTAATGTGATCTTGTCTTCAAATACGTTAGAAATATGTCATGGATTCGATTTTGGTAATTTGTAAGTAACTTCTAATACTTCCATGCATTTGTGTCATTTTTCTATAACATAGGCAAAAACAGTTTTTTTTTCTTTCGGTTATTTTCAAATGCTATGTGATGTGTTCTATTCTATATTTTTTCAAAAATCTAACTTGAAATTTGTTCTATTTTTATGTTTTATCATTCTTTTTTGCTACGCGATTCTTCTTATGGATGTGCACGCCGTCTTCTCTCGTTTGAACAATAATAGATTGACAAGCACAAATCACTAGGTTTTTGTTTTATTTTCGAACAGAATTTTTTATTTTTTAAAAACACAAGTGTCAGATTATATTCTATTTGTCCCCCTCCCTTTCTCATATAAATTATACTGTTTGCGGGTGACCTTCCAAGTTTAACTTATTCTGTTCTATGTCCAACATTTCTTGCACGCACATCATTCTTTCTAAGTGTGTTAGGTTTTCCGTCCAACTATTTTTTCTGTGTTTTCAACTTTTACTGCAATGGTTTTGAAGAAAAAAAGCAAATATTTTTTGTATTAAAAAATAATAATTATTTCGCTAACAACTTTGTATCCTCTAAATAAGTTCTGACTGAGAAGTATATGATATTGAGATGGAAAGTGTGTCAGGCTGGGCATGCATGGCCTTGTCTACATGATAGATAATTGATGCGAGAGTTAGTGCAGCAGACGCAGTTTGCAACCTTTCTGCATATATATACTCTAATTAGAAGATGTTCTTTATTCCTGCCTAGGAGGGACAGTTCCAATTCTCATTGTTCCTAAGAACTGACCACTAGTTCAGTTCTTTTGAACAGGAATCGCTACCAGTTTTTTCCAGTAAAACAAGAACCGGTGCCAGTTACTTCGACCAGTTTTTATGACCTATAAGAATTGGAATTGTCAACGAATGCTATCAACTGGTTTCTTATCCGATCAAGAAAGGTCATCGACTTTCATACCTGCATACTAGTTAGTCATCATACGTAAAGAGATTACATCTATTTTCCATGGTTGCAGATTCTGAAAGAATCGATAGCCAGTTCGAGTTTTTTTGAAAAGAGTGAGTGCTACTCTCTAAAAAAAAGGTTTATTACGAAACTTAAAAGGGTCAGAGAAGTACAACCATTTCTAAACCCTTTTAGGTTTCGTAGAAGACATGGTGCAGTACGAAACCGTTTAAGTGCATAAATTCTAGCAGTTTTTTTCTGAGCAAGTGGACCATTTCAGCAGCTTAGGCATGTTTTCATTCTATAAGACGGCGAAAACTGAGCTAAAGAAATACCTGAAACTTCTATAATTTTTGATTTTTCAAGAAAAAAAACATAATGAAATAAGAAAATGCACTGATCAATCGTTTCAATGCACTTAAAACGGTTTTGTACTGCACTTTGTCTTCTACAAAACCTAAAAGGGTTGAGAAATGGTTGCATTTCTCTATACCCTTTGATTTAGAGAGTAGTTCTCGTTCAAAAGAACTGAACTGGAACTGTGTCCTCCCTATTTCTGTCGCTAACACTTCTAGTTATTGTTTTTGCTGTTGTTGCCTTTCTTACTATTCTATCGACTTCGAAGAAGTGTACCCTGGCAGTGCACAAATATCAAGGCTAAGTCAGAGAGTAACTAAAATCCCATAGCAGAAATGATAGACAAGGGATAATCTAATTGGCTGCTGAGTGCTTCGAGAATACGTCGTCTGTCTCTTCATAATTCTTTTTCAAACTTTATACATACTTATTTATACGATTTCTTGGTGCTTGTTTTTATACCAGTTCTACAAAAGTATCTCACCACTGTGCATCTCAAGAATCACGATAGTCATTCATATTTTTTGTGTTACATCGAGCACTATGTTGATCATCTAGAACCTTTCAGTCGGTTTTGCTCCGTGGTTCTTTAGATATTCTATTTTTGCTTTCTTTCGCCAGACTATAAATATTTTCTAGTCCAAAGGCGATGAATATTTTCTATTTATCCCAAAATGTCGCAATATGTATCTACAGTATAGATTTCGTACCACGACTTAGCTAGTAAAATGACTACTGTTTTATGATTGACAATTATTCTTGAACTTTTGACCCATTTACAAATAAATAGCCGTAATTCACCACAATACTTCAGTGTAATTTCGAATTTCAAGTAACATGAGCAGTGTATCAGTTTCTAGCTTTGTTTGATCAAGATGATGCCTCTAACTGGATTTTATCATCATTATCACTCTTTGCTCTTAATAAATAGAATATATATAAATAGAAAAGACAATCTTTTATGAACCCTAAAAATTTTGAAGAATAAGCAGTAACTATTGATGTAGTACCGTCGATTTATTGAAAAAAATGAGTTAAAAAAACAGACTAAAGAGTTAGTGATTTTAGATGAACTATCACTGTTTATTTTTTGAGAAAAGATCAAAGTGTCAAAAGAGAATGTCGATCATGAAATGGTGGTCATTTTCAATTAGTATGAGTTTTACTACAGAACCCTATGTGTCAATAAAAAATATTTAGAGAAAAATGAACTCTGACAAAAGCATGTCTCTAAATGCCAGTCGAGAAAAACCATTGTCAGCGTAGGTACGCAAATCACGCTGTGAAGTAATCACTCACTTAACTGGTGACTAACATATTTCCTAATTTTGCTGGACTTATTATAAATGTACGTAAGTTTCACTAGAAGTCGACCTATTATGTACGTAGAGATTTAAAGGTTTTCGATGAATCTCTAACTAATAATATTCATGGGCAATATGGCATAGAGCTTGTACTAAGAAAGGAAATGTTAGAAGTCGTCTTTCTTAGGCGTGTGACGATGTCTTTTAAATTAAAGTAAATCGATTGATTTCTAAATCAAAGCTGTATATTTGTTTTTCAGATGGATTCATCTGACCAAAAGAATCTATCTCGACCTGGTACATCGCTTGATATTCAACCTCGACGTTCCGAAGCCAGAGATTCGCAAGAAGCGTTTAAATTAGTTCAATCGTACACAACGGATGTATTTGGACGCGTTAATAGAGTCGAAAATATAGCTTTAATCTTGTGTGTAGTAGGACTATACGTAATTATTTACGTATTGATAACAATTTTTCTTTTTAGAGAGCACGCCGTGTTTGCCTTATCGTTAGCTGACAGTTACGATAATTTATTTGCATTAGCTGCATTTTATGATTATCCAAATATCCACAATGTGTCACAAAGTGATTGGGATCAAACGTGGTGGAACGATACATTCAAAATTCCAGACGTTAATGCGATAAATACATTATTTTTACATTTATTCGTTGCACATCCAGATTATTCGGAAGGTTGTGCAAAAGAAGTAATTAACGCTGCATTTAAAACATTACCAGAAGTCAATCAAATTCTATTATGTGTACCGAATAACGTGCAACCTGGTAAATGTTTATTGCGAAATAAAGGATAGATAATATGACATCCCATTTTTTCATCATCTTCTTTTAGAAATAGCTTTGTCGAAATATTTTACTCCTATTTCAACGAAACATGATAAAAGTGATTCGTTATCCACAGTATTCGGTTGTTATAGAAAAGATCATTTTCCATCGTTATTTATAAGAACAGCACGGTAAAACATGAATGAATTTAATCGATAGATTTCATAAAAAAAGTTGTAAATTTCAATTTATTTTCAGTGTTCAAGACAATGATGATCTTGCTCCACTATTTAATCAATATAATGATATTCTAAAACAAACGTATGGTGATTATTTTGTAGCAGAATTAATTGAATCTCAAGATGATGATAATAAAGCATTTGTGGCAGAAGTATATTGAATATCACTTTATATCAAATAGTTAGATCTCAAACTCATTTCTATTTTAGGCAGACGGTTATGCTGTAGGTTTTATGAGTGTTTCAAAAGAAGTAAATATTAATGTATTAAATGAAGTTTATCAATTGGCAGCATTTCATGGTCTTAGAGAAGCACATTCAGATGATGTTTGGAATGAAGAGTCCGGTTAGTATCATACGATAGATTATATATATTAAGAATTCTCTCTATTTTCTTTTATCACAGGAAATAATCCAACAATCGATGATCAATTTTCAAGTATTGATGCAACTGCTGTTTATGAGGATGCTAAAGGCAATTCTTTCATAGAACAGTCATCGGATACACTAGAAAATCGAAGAGTTTCAGATATGCATCAAACGACAACAGATAACAATCGATTAAATAATTTTAAACGACAAACAACAGCCGATGAAGGAAAAGAGAATCGAATAAGTTTGGACAGCGATTTAGAGTTTGTTTCCATCGATCTTAATAAATCTAACATCGTCAAACAATCGGTTTTTTATTTTTATTTTAGAATAGATAACAAAGCAGAAAATGAAAATGATCATGCTATCACTGATCAAACAGTGAATAATACTGATGTCCAACTGATCGATACATCAGCCTATCGTGCAAAAATGACAAAAGCACAAGTACATAGTTACAAAAGTTAAAATATTCCTATAATATTAATTTATTATTTTCAGCTTGCAGCCGAAGATCCATCAAAATTCATTCGGCCAAGTATAGCATCAACAGCACCAAAATTTTTTGGTCGACCAAAAGCATTTGCTATTCAATTATTTTGTATTAATGAATTATACGAAAAACGTTCATATGATTTTCTTAAAAAAGCTTTTGATAGTTTTCCTGATCGAGATTATTGTATTATATCAATACCTCATATGGTACCAGAATTTCCATTATTACATTCATTTATTGTAAGTATATTTTCTAAAATATATGTTAAAAAGACAATTCAATAATGGTAGATATAATAAACAATTTTTATTTTTAGCGTATACCACCACGTATTAATTTACCAAATATTCAAGAATTATACATGTTTCATCGTGCTGGTCTATTAAGAAATATTGAAATTAAAAAAGCAACAGAAGATAATTTAGAAACAATAAAAAAATTTGTTCAACATTTATCATCTCGAGAATATATAATACAAGATTTTCTTGAAGCAGTGAGATCTAGAAAAAGACGGGTAAAAACAAAATAATGAATAAAAATTATTTAATAAATTGTTTTAAGCAAGATAAATGAGAAGATTTTTCTTTTTTAGGATAATGGTTCATTTGTTGATGCTTATATTATCTATGTAGCAAATCAAACAAGTGCATTAGTTCTATTCAGTAATGAAGAAGTAAGATTAAATAAATAATAATAATGTGCTATTTAATAAAATCTATATATTTTATTTTCTTAGAATGTTGATTATTTACGTTCACAATATAATTTAGAAGATTTTATTTATTTTAATTTACATAAACGTTATAATCATTTACATTTATATCATTTTATTATAAATCCAGTTTTTGCCTATTTGACAAGAATTTTTATTAAAGTAATATATTAATTTTTTTAATTTATATTAAATTTATATAAATAGAATATATATTTTAGGAATTATTACGAAAAATTCATAAAACATGTGTCTATTATCCAATATATCCTCGTTATGCAGATGATGAAGTAGGATTTTTTTGTTAAATAAATTATTTTTCATAATAATCAATTCTATTTCTTGTTCTGTTTTAGTTATTAAAAAAACATTCTTCAACTCATTCAATGCATTATATGGTACCTGTACGTCCAAGAAAACTTGTACAATACAATTTAGAAAAATTACAATTAAATGCACCTACAGAAAGTGTACTCGGTCTCACTCCAGAACTAGTAGGAAATCCATTTGCTTTAAATTTTACCGATGTTAAATTAATCATGGAACCAAAGGTGTGTGTGTGTGTGTGTGTATTCCCGTCTCGTTGAACATTTATAAAGTATTCTAAAATATATATTTTTGTGTTTAGATTACTATCAATGCTCGTATTGTAATTGTTGGTGGATCGACGACAGCTCTCGCCGTTCTAGAAACTCTCGCTATGTGGTCCGTAGTTTTAATTTATCTATAAATTCAAGTTAAATAGTCTTATTTTTGTTTTTTAGTCCATATCTTCGTTTTAATAATTTAACACTAATATCACCACATGGACTACCTGGCGAATTACCTCCGTCACAGTTGAGACAACTCTTTTTACCTTCAAAGTATGTGAAAAATATTCTTTTAATTAAAATAAAAATAGAAATAGATATTAGATTAGAAATGAGTACATCATCTAATTTAACTATGACGAATTCTTAAAAGAAAAAAATGTAAAATAGTTTATAAATAACTCTATTATGAGTCTTGTTTTTAGTTTAGAATATGATATTAATGAATTAGCTCGAATATCATTACGTTCGTACGTTAATATTATTTGTGCAAAATTGAAAGCAATTAATCGTCCAATGAAATTAGCAATTTTAAATGATGAAACAGTAGTACCTTATGATCATTTACTTATGTGTACTGGAAATCAATTTAGAGTTATTGCTCCTATGCAAGCGAAAGTAATTAGTCCTTTAACTAAAAAAGTGGTAACACCGAAACCAGATCGAGAATTACCAGGTAAACATTTTTCTATTTGAAAAAAGATGATTCTATTCTTTTTTATCTACTTTAAAGATCCAATACCGACCAATGTTTTAACTATTAATGATGATTTTGACGCTGCTATGACTATTCGATGGTTGAAAACAAAAAAATCAAATAAACGTAGGAAAATTTTAATAAATGTTAAAGATTGAAATATTTTACTGTTATTTTTATAGAATCAATTATTGTGTACGGTTCTACTTTGGAATCATATTGTTGTATTAATGCTTTAATTGCTAATGGTATTCAATCTGACTCTATTACATTTATTTTTCCTCCAGATCGTGATAATGTAAGATTACAGATATATTTATCAATTGTTTCAATAACTATTTATTTGTTAAAGGTATCATGTTTTAATGATCCATATGTGTTGGATGCTGTTCATGAACAATTAAATCAATTGAATGTTAAAATTTATGAAGATTATATTATGGATGCATGGTTTAGTGAAGATGATAATGGATCTTCTAAAATTATTGAACGAATTGTATTTCGTTCACAAACAGAAGGAAATAAGTCAACAGATCTTAATTTAGAATGCACAGTAAATTTATTATAAATTTGATGACATACAAATATTATATCGATAATTAAAATTATTTATTTATTTTATAGGCATTATTCTGTTATTATAATAAACGTGTAGATTATGATGCATTTGTTGGTAAGTCAGTCAAAAAATTCTTATATGATTGAATATAATTTATTAAATTTAAAATAGCTACAAATCAAAGTTCATTGGTATTTGATGGACGTCTTGTTATTGATGCCACTTATCGTACTAATGATCCTCATATCTATGCTGGTGGACCACTTACAAAATATAAACGAGTTTGTAGAAATTTTTTATAGTTCTATTTTTCTATACATTGATTTATTAATTTAGTCATATCATTGTGATGATTGGTCTCACGCATGTTTCAATTCAAAAGAAGTTGGAGTCAAAGTGAGAATTTGAAAGAAAATTGCTGGAAAAAAATTAATGTTTTAACTATTTTATTTTAAATTAGTTGGCCAATGAATTATTAGAACTCTATGATCCAACGTTTCCCACATCAAAACGTCCAGACACAGCTAATAGCACACATTCATTGATACCATCTTATACACATCCTAAACGATGTTGTGCTGTTTTACCAGGTATATCATATTTTGACTCTAACAATGGTAATATTGAAAATTAAAATTTTTTATTTTATTTTACAGGTAATTTGCATTATTTACAAATAAGTAAACCGGGTATCACGGCTGATTATAATATTGCAAAGACAATCACAGATACATATGTATGTTTCCATTCTTTCTTATTCAAATTTAAAATATATACAAATTTATTTTATATAGGGAATCGATCTTGCCACTAATTTAAATCAAAACTATTTTCGTATTCATTTGGATCAAAATCATATTGTTCGAACAATTGTTTGTTTAAGTCATCAGGTCAAATATTCAAGTTTTAATCGACATGAATCAATTGTTAATTGAAAGAAATATTTTTATACTTTTAGGATATTGACGTATATAATATATCTCATTTATACGGTTTACATGAAAGACTATTAAATAATCTCTTACAACGATATAACGAAGGACTCATCCCAGATTTTTTCTCGTATGTTATTTGATCATAATATATGTATATCTCTTATTATTTATTATTTATATTCAGATATTTTAAACAAAATTGGACTGTCGCTATTTATCATGATCGTTTTGCTGATGTACGTTTGGAAATACGTGATATACTAAAACAAACATTGGTTGAGAATTCCGAGTCACTATTTTCTTCACTTCACAATTCAGTGGATCATGATATACTGGTTAGTCTAGTGTTGTTATATTTTTAAAATCATTTCGTATTTAGTAATTAATTTTCTGTTGTTATAGTTTAATGCTGAACAGAAAAAAGTATTGTTGAAACGTTTTCAAACAGAAGGTTATAAAGAGCAAGTCGAAGAAAAAATACTCCATTATATCAATTACAATCATTATCACTTGCCGATGTATGCGAAACCGGATTCTTTTAATTAAAGACTATTATGACTTTTCACCTATTTATTTTTACTGTTCAGTCTTTTTCGCCATAATCAACTGTTGAAACAAAGTCCTATTTATTTTCTAATAAAGGATTTTATTCAAAATCTATTCTTTTTGTCGTTACAGCGATCTGAGAATATTCACAACTTCTAACTGAATCTAAAAGTGAATTTGGTTGAAAAAGTTTGAACGTCGAAAAGGCTATATGTTAACCGTAACATAAAAATCTGTGAATTAAACAGCATAAAATAAGATTGTAGCTAAAAACTTTTGTTTTTTCGGCTGGAGATATCAACTTATCATTACGTTCTCAAGTAATTCTTTTAAAATTTAATGTATTTTAGGTAAAATCTTGTTAATAAATAAAACTATAATTTTGTGGCTTTCTACTAAAACCTTCCGAGTTTCGAGTAAATTTAAAAAAATGGAACTCGTACCCGTATCCAACCTTCGGATTGGATCAAGTTGTACATCTCTAGTGCCGATCTATACCAGATTGTAAAGTAGATGACTGCTCTGCCATTTGATTCCACTTATGCATCTGCATCTTGAGGAAGGTAATATTTAGCACCATACAGCGAGAATACACCTATTTATTTTAGTAAAACATAAAATAAAAAAAACTGTTGTTTCAATATCATAAAAAGGAAAAAATAAATGATTTGAGTGACTAATAAACATGGAAAAACAAATACTGACGTCAACATAACAATTTTTTCACTTTAAAAATAGACGCTACGTACAAGGTTAGATGAGTGAAAGCTTAAACTACTATTGAAATTTTCAAGCCGTAAATGATAATATTTTGCATATCATTAGCTATCACTATCAGCTGCTAGGATATCATTCCAGTTTGAAATTCATCTTCTTCTCTATAATTTAAATATTCATACTTTGGAGAGTATTTTTAGTGGATACGATTCAACAACGGGTTGTGGAATTATTCGCTGTTTGAGTATATGGTTGTAACATATGGCTGCAGCCACACCACCTGTAATCGGGCCGAACCAGTAGATCCAGTGATTTTTCCATATTCCTGCGACGGCTGCCGGTCCAAATGATCGTGCCGGATTCATACTGCCTCCACTGTATGGTCCACCAAATAGTGAACCGATTATCAACGCTATACCAATTGATAGTGCTTTCGATCCGCCAACATCTTCACGGTTTTTATCACACGCAGCTAATATTGTATAACAGAGTATAAATGTAATTATGAGTTCAACAATGAATGCCTGTTGAACTGTTACACCTTCACTAATATTTGTTACACCGAGTTTTTCTCGTGCAATTGTTGGAGCAAGTGATTTTAATAGACAACTACCACAGAATGCACCTAATAGTTGGACAGCAATGTAGCAAATGGTTCGAATAATATCAATATGACAAGCAAATAAGAGTGATAGTGTTACTGCTGGATTTATGTTACAACCAGATACATGTCCAAAACAGACGATTAGTGTCGATAGTGTTAGTCCTCCAACTAAAATACCATGTAAATCAGGCACTTCCTGACGACGACCAATAGGCAAACCGGTACTACATGCAAACAATGTCAAAAACATTGTTCCAACAAATTCACTTATCAATGCTTGATAAAATGAAAATTGTTTGAGTTGAGTTAAACAAGATATACCACTACGACCGAATGATGAGTTATTGTGTAACGGTACTTGGAAAGCAAATCTGCCGCTCTTCAGATCAAAATGAAAACAGCCTCTCGCCACTGTCGATGTTTGTCGAATGTGGCTGTTATTGATAAATGGTGTTTGTGAATCAATTTGTTCCACTTGTTGTGGTTGATTAATAGGAATAGCACCGGTTCGTGGTGGTGGTAGGAGATTGGCTACTTGATTATCGGTCATGTTTGACTCTCTTGGGAATTCAACAAGTTATGACTAAAACAAATAAAAAAAATCCAAGGTGGCTTCTGCACGAATTTATCTTAACTTTGAGTGTTCAGTGATCAATCAGTGCAGCAAAAAGTATTAGGCAAAGTTTGATGAACGATGTCTATTCCTATATCCTGGTTACTATAAAAAGAGAGTTTCACAGAGGAATTGGAATTTTGCCACTTGAATTTCAACAATATTGTTAAATTTCCCCTAGAATTTCGGCAATTGGGGAAATTCCGAAAGAATTTCGACAATAATAATTATTACTCTATTATTAATGCTACAAGTAGTAATGCTAGAGTACAAATAAAAAATACGATCATTGGGGTTATATAGCTTTTATTGTCAAATTTCCCCTTTTATTGTTCAGAATTTCAGCAATTGTCAAAATTCTAGGGAAATTTGACAATATTGTGGAAATTCAGATGACAAAATTCCGGTTGTCGAAATTCTAGTAATCCGTTTCGCACAGCAAAAAAATCTGATTTATTTGATTAAAAACGTTTAAACTTTAAACTATGGTGAAAAATCAATCCTGCGCTCACCTTATGTATATGTATATATTTGAAATTTCTCGCTCACGCATACTTTTGCACTTATAAATTTATTGTTTATGAGCGGTGATTAATTAATTGTATATAAAGAGAATATTATTTCTTTTACTGATTCATCATCTCTCGCTAAGGTGGATGATTCGTAAAACATCAATCTCTATGAGCTAATTTTATATAATCTATTAATTATGCCACTTTTCCGTTGGATTAGTACATGATGATGAGATGTATTTTGACGAGAGAACGTCGTCTTTGCTAAATCAAAAAACTTGATTCTTATCTACAACACTGAGTATCATGAGTTAATTGTTTCGGTTGTGACTAAGACTTTTGTTTCTAATATATAAGTGTTTATGAACTAGATGTCTATGTCTATAAACTAGAACATATAGCATGTCTATCACCTATGACACATTTGTCACATGAAAGAGATCATAATTGCCATGACATAGATCCATTTCTAAGAGAAAAGATTGAATTTCGATTATTGCGGTTAGTCATTCTCTCAAAAAGTAAAGTAAATCAAGATTTCCTTCATACACTCGAATGCTTGTATATAAATCATTTATTCTCAAAAGTTGAATAAGATCGTTGCATTTATCAATGTTAAGTAATCACTCTGTGTATGATGATACTGATAATGTTCAGAGAGAACGTAGAAAATTTGTATTTAACAAAATAGCAAGTTAAAGTTTAGGATGCTAATAAATTCGACTTTAATTTGAAAATAGTGAAATGTCAAGGAAAAGATGTACTTACTTTTTAACTTCAAGAATAAGATTGAAAACGGTGTATATACTTCTTTCTTGTCACTTCTGTTTAATAGTAATGATCAACAATTGTCACCATAGGAGAATGACTGTATCTTCCAGAAATACTCGTCAGAGATGATGGAGTTGTTGCAATAAAATAATAAAAGCCATTTATTGAAAAAACACTTGAATTTTGTAAACATCACCATAAGAATAGCTATAAACTTGTCATCACCATCGTCAGAATCGGAATTCGTGATTTTTTTATTGAATAAAAAGAAAACATAACACAGTATAGCAACAAAGGTATAGAAAATCAAAGAAGATTTGTATATTAACCACAGGTTAAACATTTTGTTTCTCTCTGCTTCTCCTCTCATACAATACACAACATTTCTCTCTTTATTAATTGATTATTTCCTAATAGCTCGAATACGCATGAGTAATATATATTCATTTTTTGTCAATAACACAAATGTAAGAAGAAGTCGAACAAGGTGTGAAAGTGATTGAATATTATTTTATTCTTTTTACCTTACACGGCAGATGATATAGAGATGATATGCGTGGGTGTTTACATACGCATATGAAAAAACTAGAAGTATTTTGTCTTCAACGGAGATCATAAATATCGTGTCATTCAAGCACTTTGATCTTTCGACTATACGTAATTTTCAAGTAAAATAGAAGACGTTGAATACTGTTTTCCGAAAAGGTTAATGATATAGCAAAATCCAGATAAAAAGTTACGCTTTCACAACGGTGCTGACAATGCATTTTTTACTGGACACCTGTTATTTATGAGATGATCATACTTTTCTGCATTCTCATGGAAACAAACTTTGTATTTGTATAATATAAAGTTCAAATAATAAACAGCGATAGTTTATTAAAGTAAAGTGCAAACATATGACAGCTGTTTGACAAAAATTCATTTGCTTTTCATGAACACATTCTTTATGGGTGCTCCACCCCCTCTTTTTTGAAAAAATTTCAGATTTTGAGCTGAACATAGCCTAATGTAGAGGAAGGCGTGGGCTACAAAATGAGACCACTCCCAGCATTTCACGATCTATCTTTAAAAAATTTATGCATTTTTGAAGTTTTCGCTTCAGAGTAAAAGAAAACTCAATTTTTTAGTTTCATAAACTTTTCTCTCCTTTTCGCGACGTTTTTCAGTATTTTTCCTATAATTCGACAAGGAAAGGTCTTGAAAATATTCCAAAAAATACCTATGCGATACTACCTTGAGTACCTATGGTAAAATTTTCCACGCGCTCGGATGAAATTTAGGGAAGGTCGTAATGTGACACCATGAACAACCGAGTTTTCTGGAAAACGCATGAGCGGTAATAGTTAAAAACTTGAAAAAAAAACGAAAAAATGCTCAAGTTTACAATCAGTTCTGAAAATATAAAGCCTCACTGACTTTTAGTTTTTATTTCACAGCATTTCTACGGAAGGCACAAAAAGAGGCGTGGAGGAATGAAATGCATGACTCGAGTTCAGTGTATTGTTCGTCACTCAGCTATCATTTATTCAAATTTAAAACAAATTTTGCCATTAGATTTCCAACACTTTTGTCTATTTAGAAATGTAAAAAAGTTCAAGACTTGCCTTCAGTTCAAGAAATTCTGTATAGGACCCAATCAAAGTCAACACTGTTTTCTCATTCAAAGAATATATACATGTATACGCCGTTCTCGCTATTCTGTAGAGCTTCAGAGAGAGCGCCGCGAGTATTTTTACAAATAAAATTTTTGTTCTCAACTTTTCATATAAAGTTTATTCATGTTTAGTACGTTTCGATCACCCACCTATAAGCATAATACTAAAGGCGGTACCAACTACATTACTCAATGACATCTGAGTATCTGTTTTCAGACAGAGATGAGTATTAGTCTAGATATATCGGATGCGTCAGGATGAATGAGCCTCTCCATATTTTCTATTGTTCTCGTGTTTCTTTAGGAACCTAAGATTAGTGTGTTTTTTAAAAGATGCGCCGCGAAATATACTACAAAACCGTATCTAAACTTTAATTTCAGAACTTCGATCAATAAAACTACGCACATGTGTCCAAGCAAGAAATGGAAAACATGATCGAAGTTTTGATTTTTCAGTTAAGCGGAGAAGAGTAATCACTTCAGATCAAAACAAACACAATCGAAAAATCGTTTCTTTCGATGGAGTTATGGGACTTTTACTGAAAGCATCACTATACCAAAATTTAAATTTATTAATGGAAAAATCTGTGACAAGGCACAGAAAAATTATTATTTCTCCATGGGTTTTGATGTGAAAAAATAAGAAATGTATCTGACAAATAGAGCGAAGTCAGAGCTACATAATGGCTGATTCAGGTTTCTTACTTTCAACATGACACATTAACATACGAGATCATTATTGAGTTTACAAATTTTCATTTTTTTCGCCGTTCGTATAATTTGCGTAGTTTTCTTGATTGAAGTTCTGAAATTAAAGTTTAGGTATGGTTTTGTAGAGTATTTTGCGGCGCATCTTTTAAGAAAAACAATAATCTTAGGATCCATTCCCAGAAACTCATTCATTATGACGCACCCGATATTTTTCTGGAACTAAATTATTCGCGCATTTCTGAGTCATAATTGACGAAATATGTATGACTTTGTCAATAATCCGTTAACCGAAGTAATTTATTACAAAACAATTAGTATTCACATTAATTTCCTGATCAAAACACGACTTCGTGCAGTTTTATATATTATTGGGTAATATAAGCAATCTGTTTACTATTATACAGTACTGGAAAATTAGAGAGACGGGTTCGAGCCTACTCTTTAACTTTTATTTATTTTGTTAATTAACGATTTTAGAGAGTTTAAACCACATGAGTATAAGCATTTAAGTCTGCTCTTTTCAAATATGTTATTGAAAAAATATAGAAATCTTTGTTTCTCTTACAAAAGATTTTTTACAAAAAATGCCCATTTTTTGTTGGAAAAAATTCTAGAGCCATTTTAGCCTATTGTGTAATGCAGTATAATGCATATACTCATATGGTTCAATCTCTCTAAAATCGTTAATTAACCAAATAAAAAAAAGTTAAAGAGTAGACTGGAACCCGTCTCTATAATTTTTTCCAGTACTGTAAATGAAAGATTCGATTTAGAACTAAAATGTTGAAAAAGTTCTTTTATACCGTTAAATCAATGTTGTTTTTCTGGTTTACCTTCACATTGTTCAAAAGCAGATAATGGGACACTAGTATTATTTGTTTCCGGTAGTTTACATTCTTCCAGCCATATTTTTGTTTCCATGTTGTCTGTTTTTTCCACGGCAGTGATGGTGAATGCAGCAAACGGTAAGATGAGTACCTCTTCTTCATCTTTTACCTTAGAAATCCCACTAATGTCGAGCGCTGTGCGCTTATTTCGTATCAGATAAGTTGAAAATACTGACATATCATTTGGTCCACAGAAAATTTCTGCAACTTTTGTTGTTTTCGATGTCGATAAAAACGTTGTATTAACAATTTGTTGTCCCGCATAATAGGGAGCAAGTTCTGATCCTTTAACGCGCATACCACGATAGCATACACCCGTATAACTGTACGGTTCAAACTTTGGATGATGTAAAAGAATCGATGTAATAGCCATGACGCCATCTTGAGCCAAATAGAGACGGGTGCAAAAAAATTTTGAACAACCTTGTCTCAAATCATGAATAACATTTCGTGCCATGTCTCCGTTTACATATTGGTGGAACGTTGCTGTTGATGTATAAGCTCGGACTATCTCAAACGGGTCTTTATTGTCCTTTGCTCGTTGAAAATAGACTTTGATACTGTTAAAATTTGATTTTGTCAAGTTACCAACAAGTCTGGTGTACAGATAGCCCTTATTTATCGCGTAAATTTTATCTAATAAATCAGATTCAATATTGCGTTTGTAGAGAAAAGAAAGATCCGATTCTCGTCGAAAGCGAGCTGAGTATTCTGAAGCATTTGCATGGACAATTTCCCATTCGCACGGATCATTTGGATCGCATATAAAGCATGCTAATTCTTTCTGAACTTTCGTATTTGCATCATTAGGAGCCAGTTCTATTAGACGTTGACTTGAACGGTTTCGAGTCGGACAAAAAGGATTTCGTCTTGGTAAAAGTCTGGCAACCCCGGCGAAGCCATCAGGTGGTGCAATTTGCAATACAGTATTACCGCTAATGTTCTCAACTTGACTGATGTCATTGATGGACATTGTTTCAGTGGCGTCTCGCACTCTTTCGGTATCAGAAAAATGTTGGCAATGTTGCCTTCTCATGATGGATGAACGTCGAAATTCCTGCATATAGACGTTGTTCGAGTAAACATAGATGAAGAACGTGAAAGTGTACGGCAATAGCACGAGAAATGTCAGTGGTACGAATATTTTAGACAATAATTGTTGATTAGATCCAGTACAATCATAGATAACATATGAGAATAGAAACCAAGGCAAAGCAAAAACAAGATAAAATATCGATGGTAGAAAGAAATCCCCATGTTTACGCAATTGTCTGAACAAGACATGCCAATATTCATCGCGTATGCCTACAGAAACATTTCGTTTCGTGATACTACGCAAAACAATTATACTAGCTATAAATTGCAGTAGAGTTGGTATCAGCGCATCACAGTATCCAAAAACCACTCTGATTGTATTAACCGTGTTATAAGTTGATTGTAAGAAATTTACAAATTCTAATAGTAAAAAAGGGATCTGCAACATTGTCACGATTAGAAAACAAGTAAATGAAACTATGATCGAACGTTTTCTTGATGCAAATATACAGATACCAAAACATTGAATTAACACTCGCTCACATGCAATAAAACTACTGAACCATATACTGAGATGATACATTGTTTCATTGATTAATAGTAAAATTGTATAGGTACGACGATAATGGCTAACTGATTTCGTTAGTATAAAAAAAAATAGCACTTCCTCGAAACAAAATCCAACTAGCATAGTAACACATAAGCAGATCAAATAAACACCTAAATTAGTTGTACGTATTCTGTGACATAGAAACGTTCGGATACTCAGCGTAATACTAATAATGGACCAAAATATGACGAGTTGAAGAAAGCATATATAAATATTTTTTGCACCTGGAATATACTTTAATACAACTTCAAGTGCTTCAAGTTCAGTGATAGCCATATTTCGTTCACACAATTTACCGCTATAACATTGTGAACACACGTAATACGAATTAACATAATGACTATTATTCCAAGAGCTATTCAGAGCAGATGATACATTTACAGAGAGCATGTGTATGTAGTTTATAGCATACGAGTGACTGGCATAGCCATTGTACCGTTTGTAAAAAAGTTTGTCTGAAAGAAAAGTCAAAGCAGTCTTAAAGTGATGGACAAGTTAAGTGTTACTTTGATAGAGGATCACAAAAAATGGCTTTTCCCTATACTTTTTCTACTTTCTCCGACAAAACTTGATTTATTCTGATAATGGCTAAGATTCCCACGGTGACTCCAAAAAATTTGTGAAGCCGATTTTTCACTGGGTCTTTGGAAAGCCAGTTTGGATCTCTAAAAACGGACATTGAAATAGGTCAACTTTTTTCATAGATATATAGTTCGAAGCGTCCTCTACAAAAGTGGATTCAAGCAACATCTCGGAAATCCACGGTTCGGTAGCTATAGACATTTTTTCCGAAGCTTTAAGGCTCCGCTGCCGTTAAGTTTAGGACTGTCAGAAGTGAATGAAAACATAGGTTATCGACTATGCTGAATCTCGTGGCAATGTTAGTTTTCAGAACAAACTGCAAGGACCAAGTGAAAATCCTTATTAAGTGAAACAACCCAATTTTGGCTTTTTCCATCAAAAATTAGAAAAGTCATTACTCAGTCACAATTCATCAAATCTACTTCAGAATGTCAGGAAATACTTCAGTTTATCCGATCATTTTGATTCAGTACTTAAAATCAAGAAATAAAATATTCTTCTGAGTTATTTCATTCTGAGTTATGACTTTTCTTGATGGAAAAAGCCAAAAATGGGTTGTTTCACTTAAGGGCCCCCCTCCCTCAGAAATTATCTCCGACACTGTACATCCGACCTTGATGAAACTTTCCATTAAACGGGAATGAAAAAATTTTTTTGTCTTCAAGTCTCACGGTTTAGGAGTTTTTCAGAGATCAAGGTCCAAAAAGGACCCTGAACGGCGTCCCAAGATTTTTTAATATGCTTCAAGCTGAAGAGTTTATTTTATTTTAAACTAAACACCTAACTACATGGACTGGCTGGCGCCGATTTTTCAATTAAGCCTTTATTGGTTTTCCAGGCAACCAACAACCTCCAAAACCCGAAAAACCTATCCGGATTTTCCAAAAATCCTCAGTTTGACAAAAAACTAAGACCCAATTCAAAAGTCGACGCCGGTCAGTCAATGTATTTTCGTTTCATCTTTTAAACAAAAAAAGAATGAACTCTCTACGACAAACCGCTATTAAAAATCTTGGGACGCACTTCAGGTGTAACTTTTATATAGTGAAAACGCTGTATTAAACGCTGTATGAAATACTCCATTTTAGGACTTCTAGGAAAATGCCTGTAACTTTGTGATGCAAGATCATACAGAGTTGTGGGCGGCCTTATTTTGATCAGAAACGTTTGCTCTACAAAGCTGTGTGTTCAGAAAAAATTTAATTGCATAAGTATCTAGGAAAAAACTGTTGTTTGAAGACCCGGTTTTTCAAGGCTCTTAGAAAACTTGCTCAAAATCCCCAAAAAACCAGTTTTGTAACCAAATGCAATACAGATTCTGAAAGTAGGCACTTCAGGCTATCTTTCCATGTGCGTATCTCAAAACCGATTTTTTGACCGAAAATCACCATTTCTGAGGGGGGGGGGGGGGCCCTTAAAAAAGGTTTTCCCGCGGCCATGGCAGTTTGCCGAGATGTTGCTTGAATCCACTTTTGTAGAGAACGCTTCGAACTATATATCTATGAAAAAAGTTGACCTATTTCAATGTCCGTTTTTAGAGATCCAAACTGGCTTTCCAAAGACCAAGTGAAAAATCGGCTTCACAAATTTTTCAACAACCGTCTTTGGTTGTGAAAGACTAGCCCCAGGTATCTGCTTTTGATTGTCGAAGACCGCAACATTCTATCCTACACTGTTATTGAGTTATTGAGAAAATGGCAACCTGCACAGGATTTTCGAGCCGATAGTGCACGTCATCTATTTTTATAGAAAACCGTCGGTTAACCGCGGCTTGCTACAAAACCGTCAATTAATTACGGTTAACCGTCGGTATTTTTGATACCGCAGTTTGGAAAATTAACCGCCAATTGACTACGTTATTCCGGAGAACCGACGGTTAACCGTTCCTTTTCAATCACCGTTTTGTTTTGTGGTCACGATATGTATATAAGGATAACATGATTTATCGAAAATTCAAAACTTTATT